GATGAATTAGTAGTAGTAGTGATTGGGAGGAAAGTCATGTTTGATATATAAAAAAAAAAGTTAATTGAATATTGAGTTTTACGCTTTCAAATAATAATAATACAAAAAAAACGTAACGCCAGACACATGTGTGGTGTGCTGTGTATTGATGTATGTATGGGTACGGCATATGAATCGGGTATTATCATTGATATTACTATTAATAGTGTAACTAAATTAGTTATATTTTGTTTTTATTACTCTCTCTCTCTTTGGAAGATATATTGTATTCAATTCAAACATTCAATTAGATAAGCAAATGGTTGGCTAAATGGTGTTAACAAGAGTGCACTGACTCTACTGTATGCCATACATACACACACACCAGTGTAATAGCGTCCGGTGTTTAGGAGGCGAGTAATTAAATTATAGATGCATTTTGAGGAGTGAGATAATGGTGAGAGAGAGAGAGAGAGAGAGAGAGAGAGAGAGAGAGAGAGAGAGAGAGAGAGAGAGAGAGAGAGAGAGAGAGAGAGAGAGAGAGAGAGAGAGAGAGAGGGAGATAGAGAAGGCCTATGTGTGATCAATGAGCCGGTGATCATCCAAAAAGATACAGTGATTATTTCTGGTATGATTACAATCCCAATATGATTAGTTAGATATAAATGGATAGATAGTACAGATATATTCAATAGTACAGTGCATTCAATTAAAAATTATAAACATACATAAGCTCAAGCAAACACATTTGGCGTACACACACACACACACACACACACACACACACACACACACACACACACACACAGGGATCTCAGTTATTATTAAATAATAAGCCTCTTTTCTCCCTAATGGGCATCACTACTACTACTACTACTACTACTATAACTACGGGCCTAACCTACCGGAGTCGTGATGCATAAATGTGCTCGCTTAATTTTGTTTAGTCAAAAAAAAGTTTAGCACCACGTTTTCTCTATATGTACCGATGCAACAATTTTTAACCCCCCCCTTTCCCGGTCACTTCCCCCAATCATTTCAACATTCAAACAGTTTTTTTTGACTGTGTGTTGTTCAATAAGTCGTGTCTTATAATTGTCCAGAAAAATACTGTATATATATATATAAAATCCCGATTTTTGTTAATATTATAATAATACCTATAGTTATAACTTATAACACTCTCTACTATTACTACTACTACTACTACTACTACTACTACTACTACTACTACTACTACTACTAGAGTAATGTTAAGCATTATAGTTATACAGATAGTTAGCATTTTATGTATGGTAACTGCCATTTAGCAGTTGTTAATCTATCTATACAATAGATTTTTAAAAATGTACAGCACTTTTACTATACTATGTGTTATTATTATTATTATTATTATCTTTACTTATATATATATATATCTGGAAAGCCGATTATAGGCTATCAATGGCATCAATGGCCTGTCACTCATATGGTAGCATATACTACTTCTGATGGTGACATGTGCCAGTGCTAACTGCCAGCCCTGTCCATGTCCTCTCTAATGCTAGTTAAAGGGAAATCTTTGCTAACTATGTGTTGTTTAGGGGACCCATCAAATCACTGACAATCACACACACACACACACACACACACTGATAGTTTGAGTCAGTCCTCCTTAAAAAAAAAACTTATACCCGTTTCCCTTGGAATACCGATAATCATATCCGACACTTACACACATACAGTGAATGTTGTTGTCGGCATTGGGTTAGTGTCACACAACTACTATAAAATTATATGTATTTTTTTCGAGAGAGAGAGATAGGGAACCGGTATTTAATTGTAGGACTTCTCTCACTACTCACTATATATATATCTCCTCCCGATTTTATCACAAATAAGTATTTTTTGTTATAATACTCTACTATGATAGTCACAAACACAACGACACACACACACACACACACACACACACACACACACATACATACATACAACTACACCAACAATACACACACACAAAAAACTAGTCACCCGTATTGTCAATTAAATCCCTATTTGTCTTCACCCGGGTAAATGTCACTCAAATCAGTTTTTAATGTTATATATAATTTTTTTGTATGTATGTATGTGTGTGTGTGTGTGTAGTTAAACGATATTATATTATTGTTATTACAATATTATTATTATTATTGTTGGGGCCCCCTCCCTATTATCTAGTTTAACAATCACCAAATAATATATATATATAAATTTTATAATAATAATAGTTAGGAGATTAGCTAGAGTTAAAGGGATTGTGTTATTGAACAGTAGTGTACTACTGTATGGTGTGTGGTGTTTAAGGACAGTTGGTTGGCATTTGACATGCACTGTATGTGTTAGAGGAGATAAGGGGGGGGGGTTGTCAGTCATGATATCAGGCCCTTAAACTGTATATTGAAAACGGCATTTGACTTTTTCCCACAAAAACTAATATCACTGGTTATTAGGTATCCGATCGGTATTATAATAATATTAATATTATTAACAATACAATAGCGAGAGAGAGAGAGAGAGAGAGAGAGAGAGAGAGAGAGAGATTGTTGGACAGACATATGAAAGGCATGATTTGATTTTTTGATCCCTATATATATAAACTGTATGTTATGTGTGTGTGTGTGTGTGTGTGTGTGTGTGTGTGTGTGTGTGTGTGTGTGTGTGTGTGTGTACTGTATGTATAGTATACACAAAAATTTTTGTCAATGAATTGACAGTTGAATAGTAGGCAAATATTTTTGTGGCCACTTATACTCTCAGTATTCAATAATCTATACATACAGTTCAAACACACACACACACACACACACACACACACACACACACACACACACACACACACACACACAGTAGACACTATCTACCGGTTCCCTTATTATCATTATTATTAATATTTTCAATACGTTGTGTACCCTCCGATTTATTAATAATGGGCGGTTTGGCAATTGGTTTTCAATTGACAATGTGTTTAAACATGTTTTTTTGGTTGAAAAAATCAAACATTTAACCGTATTTTATTTGTTATACATTTTTTTCATATATATATATAATTGGTTTTTTCATGTATTTGCTTATCGTTTATATATATCGTGCTCTCTCTCTCTCTCTCTCTCTCTCTCTCTCTCTCTCTCTCTCTCTCTTTCTTTCTTTCTTTCTAAACAAATTATAAGTCAAATTTGTTTGATACACATTTGACAGCCGTATATGTGTGATGGACATACAAATATCTATTAAATATAAATCAATTTTTTTTAATAATATTGTTGTTGTACATATATAGTTTCACTGTTTTACGATAAAAAAATAAAACACAATTTTGTTTGGGGTTATCCAAAAATATGCTTATGTATGCTGATAAAATGTATATTAAATATAACTATTTATATATAATATTTGGTATATAAGCATAACAAATTGATTTACATATTTTTTGGGGGTGCACAATAATTTAGCATATATATATATATATATATATATATATATATATATATATATGATATATATAAACAATATATATTTATATATAAATCTTAATTAATAATTATATAAAAAAAATTGTTTCAAACAAAATTTCCTATTTTTTCTAATAGTTTATTCAACAACAAAATTATCAGATACTTAAGCTAAACGGGTGTTAAAATTGTGGTTAACATTTAATTGTTGGGCACCAAAAAAAATAAAATAAATTATAGCCTAAAGTGTCGAAAATATTTTATTTTATGGTTGTATACAATATATGATTTATGTATTGGCAAAATATTTTTTTTTAGTTGTTAATATAAATTAGTTTCTCAGCTAATAATAAAAAAAAATTAATACAAGTATTTCAATAATCAAAAATCGATATTATATTATAGAAAACATTTATAAGTTATATACAGTATTAATATAAAAAATTATTTTTTTATTGACATATTATTTAAATTTTTTTTAATATCCATCAATTTTTCATTATTGATTTAAAACATTTTTATTTCTAAAATTAAAAAAAAATTATTATATCATTTTATTATATCAAATAATAAAATCAAAATAATAATATTATTAATAATATTAATACCCCATTGGTAAAATTTTTTTGTAATAAATTGATTGCAATTATTATTATTTTATTATATAAATGTATTGATTCAAGCATTGATGAAACATTTGATTAACTGTTAAAATACAAGCAATATATGATAAAAATAATAATAATAGTAATAATAATCATAATCGTAATCATAAATTAGAAAATTTAAAAATTAAATTAACTATTTTTTTCAAGTCTACACACACCAAATAAAATGTCATATAAATTAAGTTTTAAATTAAAAACTTCAATCACGAAATAGCACTTAAAAAAACTTTTATTAAACACATAAAGTATATTAATATATATACTATATCTACGATACAATATATATATATATATATAAGCGATTACTATAACTGTTACATAACTTGTAAGGATAGTTAAGTAAAAATAAGGTGTGTTCCTCACTACTCACTAAACTATAATATATATCTATATATATATAAACTAAAAATAGGTACCAAACAATTATCAGGTATTAAATTTTTAGTTTATTTTTTTTAATATTATACTTTATATGCCAATGCCCAACTAATAAATTAAAGTTACTGTATATTATGTTATATATATATATATATCATAGGGAGAGCAACGCTTATGTATCTCAACAACAACAACAAAAATGCCGATATATTATAAAATAATAATAATAAATAGGATTTTACACTTAGCTAACAAGCGCGCAAAAAAACATATTTTATATTTATCTCAACAACAAAAAACAATAATAATAATAATAATAATTATATTAAAAATTATTTTTGTTATCTGTGTGATGATGATGATAAAAATCTCTAAATTTTTAAAACTAAATTAAACTAAAAAAAATACTATGTTTTTAAAACTAAAACTAAAATTAAATGTATTATTTTTCTCCAAACAAAAAAAACTTTATTTAATTTTTGTTATTATTATTATAATTATATAGCGCTTCTGCCTCAAGATTTCGACAGTTCATCCAAAGTCCGCTCAACTTAACCGCCAATAGCCTACTGAAACCACTGCCACCACACCATCAGCAGCAGCAGCAGTCGTCACCATCAAATCACCACCAATTGCTAGTGGCCAACAACAGTTCGGGTCAGCCAACTCTACCGATGATGGGACCGACACCGACCATTCATCATCCGCTGAGGCCGTCATCGTTAAGCAGTTTTGTTAAATGGCACACAAGTTTGATGTCAACCAGCAATAGATAATTAARTGTTTGCCCCGAAATAATAATAAAAAAACAATATATACTGTAATAACAACTACAGTATATAGTATGATATTACAAGTATATTATATAATTATTATAAATATATACTGTATATATGACTTTATGATTGTTATAAATTATCTATATATATATATATATATATATATATATAAATGAAAAGCAAATCATTTTTTATTACAACACACACACACACACACACACACACACACACACACACACACAYACACACTAAACAACAATAATATTGAAAACATATATATACAGTACATTATAACATATAAAGCAATTATACTGTATTGTATAGCAACTATTGTATAGTATAGATGATGATTAAAACAATATTAGCATAACTTTTTGTTTTGTTTTATTTTGCAAACCACACCCGCATTATATGCCATTTAATATATATATATATATATATATATTCCGTACAGTATTATTGTTATGTAATATACTGTATATATGTATCGCAAGACATTAAGATAATAATAATAATATACTGTAGTAGTAGTTGTAATAATAATAATAATGTATTGGATATGAAAAATYACAATATATATATACAGTATCTGTATCTATGATTTGCTATTTGTTTCTCTCTCTCCCCCCTATCTTATATTACATGTGCTAATGATAGGGCTTTGATATCATCATATATTTATATATATGTATATAATATAATATATGTTAAGTTTTATTGCTTATGTAGATATTAGAGACCTATTATATATATCGCGTGCCTAACAGACACCTGAACTGATCGATGGAAAGGTGATAATGATTCTCACTTTTTTGTTTGTTTGTTGTTTTATTATTATTATTATTTAACACATCAAACCAACCAAACCAAACCAAATCAAACCAATCATCCAACCATCCAAAGAAATAGGTGATACCCCCCTTAATAATAATACTAGACTATTATATATATATACTGTATATACTTGTACTCAATGCTCATATATATATATATATAAAACAATTTCATATATATAAGTGATATAATGTTTTTTAGATTACAGTATTATTATGATTATTATTGTTTAATAATTTAACGCTTCGGTCGCTTTTGATATCCGATAATAATTTTTTTTAGGATATATATTATATAACAAAATGCTATGTTATTGTGTGTGTGTGTTAGCTATCGCTCTGTTAGATGCCTTTTTGCGAGAACCCTGTGCGCTATCTTTAACACATATTAATATATAAATTATTTAGTGTGTGTGTGTGTGTGTGTGTGTGTGTGTGTGTGTGTGTGTGTGTGTGTGTGTGTGTGTGTATATATATAATAATAAGTATAAGTATAAACACACCAATAAATATTATACAATAAAATAAAACATAACTTATATTACACTATACAAAAAATACTGTATATATTTATTAAGACAATAATTGCACAATTAGTTTGGTTTGTATTTAAGTGTCTCATTTTTTTTGGTTAGGTGCTTACTATAATACTGTATGCATTTCATATCCCTGTCCCCCCGTGCGTCCGGCTATCCCCCACTTAAACCACTACACACACACACACACACACACACACACAACCTGATTGTTAATAATATAAATTTATTAATATAACTATATATATATATATATATATTGAGTGACAACCGTTTAGACCCGTGTGATGTGCCCTTTCTCCCCTCCCAACCCCCCAACAAAACACATGTGCTTACAACATATCAATAGCTTGATAGTACAGTCTCATCATTATCATCAACATCACCATCAGCTGAATGATTGGTAATCAGCGACAGCAGCAGCAGCACTGGTAATAGATATTTGACATTACATACCAACGATGCCCGACACATACACACACTCACACAACATCACCCGATAATATCATATACAAAATAATTTGTGTGTGAATTTTTTTGTTGTTGGGTGTATAGTAATTTACTATTCAAACTGATGGGACGACACACACATACACACACACACACACACACACACATACGTACAGTAAAAAACCATCACCGATGGGCCATATAATAGGCAYCCGTACCCCCCTTCCTTCTACCTAACACCACACATCCCTGTCCCCCCCATCCAATCTCCTGCGCGAAAAAAATGAATCACTCATTAATCAGAAAATAAATGAATCGTTTAAAATTGATTTCCACTCTTAAAATACATACATATATATAAGTGACTCCTAATTTACTGCCACATATTACAGATAGATAGATATGATAGATACCGTTCCTCACGATTGAATGACAACTACGGTACAGTAGTTTTAAAAAATAGTCCCATAAATTGTTTTTTATTCCCAATTTTCTCTTTGATGTGTCTGTCTATCTGTCTCTGTCTGTAAATAGGTTTCAATTTTTTTTACAAAATTAAAAAATTATTATTATTTTGTCTACAAAAAAAGCGCCCATCAATTGATGATAACTTTTAAACTAATATCTATACTGTATATATATATATATATAACTAAAATTTTTTTTGCTGTTAATTACTGTATTTAATTAACTAAAAAGCAAATCATCCGTTGTAAAATATTATTATTATTATTATTATCTATTTAATATCGATATTATTATTATAATAAATTATTATTTAAATAACACACACACGCACACACACATTGTAAACATATGAATTAAATGAATTATAATAAAATGTAAATAAATTATAACTATTTATAAAACTATATTATATTATTAATATTCGCTAAATATACTGTATTTATATTTATTAAAAAAAGTCGGTATTATTTTTTATGAAAGACAAAAAAACAYATAATTATTATATATTATATTTATGTAATCTCAGTATCCAATAATAATAATAATGTTAATAATAATTTTTTTCTCCTAAATAATTGTAAATTTAAGCTATTAATAACTAGAGGTAATAACTCACATGTAATATACATATATTATATATATATATATTAATATTAGATACATAAACGACACGATATTACATAATTTATATATATATATATAAATAATTTGCTGTACATTATTTCTATGTGTATTATCATAAGTAATGTGAGAAAAATTAAAATAAAATAAAATTTGAATTTATTTTTTGTGAAAACATTTTTTTTAAAAWWAATAGTTTATTCCATACAATATATTGTAATAATAATTCAATAGTAATTTATATATATATATTATAATTATATTATATATCATATATAATAACTTATTAATATCCCCATGAAATCTCTCTCTCTCTCTCTCTCTCTCTCTCTCTCTCTCTCTCTCTCTCTCTCTCTCTCTCTCTCTCTCTCTCTCTCTCTCTCTCTCTCTCTAATCAAAATGTGTCGGATATACTGTACTATCGGTGTTTAAAATCAAAGCCGAATAGCATAATAAMAAACAATACAAAAATAGTTTATATATTAAATAATAATATAATTTATTTAAATTACTCAACAAATTATTATTGTTGTTGCAGTTATTATTATAATTCAAAAAAAAACATTTATATATATATATATATATTGAGTATATATTTATCTTTTAAAGGTGATGATCATCAACACCTAAACACATAGGCAGATGTTTTGTTAAATTTTTTTTTTTTTTGGTGTGTTAAGTAAAATGCCATTTATTATTATATGATTATATAAAAATGTATGCCTTGTTTTTGGTTGTTGTTGTTTAATATGGGGGAGGCCTGAAGGGGAGGGGGTTAGGAGAGCACAATTGTCGGGCCGCCAGTATTAAGCATTTACACACCAACAAAAAAATAATTGCAATCAAACATATAATAATAATACAGTAATAATATAGTAATAATAAAAATAATCATTCAATGCATGTATTTTATATCATAACTATAGGAAAGCTATAGTGTGTGTGTGTGTGTGTGTGTGTGTGTGTGTGTGTGTGTGTGTGTGTGTGTGTGTGTGTGTGTGTGTGTGTGTGTGTGTGTGTGTGTTATCATTATATTTGAAAGTAATTTGATATATCCCTTAACATACATTAAAATACATTAAAATAAATTGTTTTTTAGAGAGATGAGAGAGAGAGAGAGAGCAGATTGAGTACAAAATAATTATATTTTTTTTTTAGAAATAATAATAATAAATAAATAAATAAACATAAAAATTTTTGCATAAGTTATTATTACATAATTGTATTAATATTTTTAAATTTTTATTTAATTTTTGTATAATCTCTAACCCTATTTGATCTCTTTTCCGATTTCTATATACACTAAATATCTTATTTATATATAAATATTTATGTCAATTATCAATATTAACTATTTTTTTAATGGCTTATTGTTTATTGTGTGCGATATATATATATATATACGGTATAACTACTAATATTTCAAAAAGATAAACCCGAAAAATGTTGATTTTTTTTGTTGGTTTGTTTATTGTCTCTCAATTACACATAAAATATTTTATGTTTTATTATTAATATTATATTTTTATAAACTAATTATATTGACAGTAATTATAGTACAGTATATATATACATATATAATTGTTATTTAAATATTATATGCAAATATATATTTTGTTAAAAAATATATTTGATATAAAGATATTACTGTATATATGATACAGTATGTAATAAAAAAAACATTTTGTTTTTGTTTTAATCATTTCTAAATATAGTATTCAAACAATATTACTGTTTAAAAGTTATATATATATATAATAAATATATAATATATACAGTATATATGATTCATAACTATGGGGTGTAAAACACATTGTATTGCAAACAAAATTAATCGTAATATTCATAACATTTCTCTACAAAAATTTTTTAAAAGTATTAAACACTTTTTTTATTGATAGCAATATTATATATATATATTATAGTGTATATAAAGTACCAGTAAAACAATAGCATAACAATTTTGTATATTTATATATATAGGTATTTTTATAATAAATGATACGGTAATATGTAAATGTTAATATAGTTTAGTATTATATTATACTGTAGTACAGTATATAATATAATTAACAAACATGTACTGTAC